ATAAGAGGGGTCTTAAAGTGATATATTAAAAACGTGAGTTTCGAAGCCGTTGTTTGTGATTGATCGTGAGGAATCGGGGAAGCCTTGTCTAAAAAGAAATAATATAAAGCCTGTTGACTAAAAACTTCTTGACGAACTCTACACAACCTATGTTGGAGATTAAGGATTTTGATTGTGATATTGAAACACCTAGCTTATCTAACACGGTTGCATAGACGAGGGCCACATTCTTATCGGCGAAATTTTATGTTATATATGGTAATCCTTTTAATATTCAAATGGAATCCGAAACCTCTTCCTCTTTGTAAAAAAAAAAAGGAAGAGAATCTTATTTATACTCTATTATTAGTTCATATTTCAACTAATATTAATTCATACTTCAAGGAGGCTTAACCTGCCCATTAAATGTTGGGCTGATTGAAGAAATCGGATAGATTCACATCCCGCTTCATCTTAAGAAGATGATACTCCTTGATCCACCGGAGCCACATCCCCTCTTATCTTAGCAAGTATTTTGAAAAAATACTCGCTTATTTTTCTGCCGGGTTCGGTATTTCGTACTCTATTTCATATTTCATATATATTTAGCTGCTTATTCAACTTCCTCAACATCCTCAATAGCTGGTAATACAGAAAGAAGATCGGATCTAGCTATCCCGTACATACAACCCTCACTAACTAACTTCGAGCTACAGTCGAGCAGCTTTCGCCCCTATTGAATAGCATCCTCAGACCTTGGCGAGGAATCCTATCCGGCTTAGTCGCGCACGCTTCTAACTCTCTACAACAAATTCAATGTCCGGACACAGACCGCGAAGCCAAGGAATGTCTCGAAAAGGGGTCACGTAGTGTAGTGTTCGAGAACACCTTGTAGGATCAGGGATAAGACCCGCTCCAATCCTCTGCTTAGGCAGACCGATACCTATGGGGTCCCTTCGATCTGTCCTTTAGAAGGCCTTTTCTGTTCCATACCTTCCTGGCACTTTCATCCAGTGAAAGAAAGACGTATTCTTTCTTTCCTGGTAGGGGACTGGTAAGAACATCACCAGTTTCCAACCTTTTCCGCTACTTCATCACAACGAAGATGGATGCACACTGATCCAAGCGAGAAAGGAGAATGCTAATATCGACTTTCTGTAATTCAAGATGAGTTAAGATGAGCCCTTTAAAAGGGCGATTAAACTCCTGAATGAGCTCTGAAAGAGCGACTTTACCTACTCCTCCTTAGTTATTTCCTACTTATTTCCTACTTGTTGCATTACTTATAGCTTCCTTTTGATTTCTTTTGTATTTCTTATTCTAAGATAAACCCTGCTTTCTTATTATTTAAAAATAAGGACGGAAATCTTTCCTCTGATGGAAGAAAAACGTAGTTTGTTCACTCCGTCTTCCACTACTTACTGGTTGAAGTTCTTGCTTGCTCATACCGTTGAAGAGGTTAGCTTGTTCGCTCGATTATCAATTTTTCTTAATAGATGGTTGGCTACAAAAGGATTTTTTTTTAGTGAACGTATCACAGTCTATACTCCTATATTTTTTTTTGGAAAGACGAAGAAAGAAATTCGATTTTCTCGTTTATTTCCTACGGCGACGAACAATCGAATTCTCACTATATTTATTCCTTTTTCGACTTCTTCTTCCGAGTGCAGGATAACCCCACGGGGTTGTGGGTTTTTTTCTACCAATTGGGGCTCTCCCCTCACCACCCCCATGGGGATGGTCTACGGGGTTCATAACTACTCCTCTTACTACAGGACGCTTACCTAGCCAACGCTTGGATCCGGCTCTACCCAAACTTTTCTGATTCGCCCCAACATTCCCCACTTGTCCGACTGTTGCTGAGCAGTTTTGGGATATCAAACGGACCTCCCCAGAAGGTAATTTTAATGTGGCCGATTTTCCCTCTTTTGCAATCAGTCTCGCTACAGTACCCGCCGCTCTAACTAATTGTCCACCCTTTCCAAGTGTGGAGAACCCGCGTGGCCTAATGATCTTTTATATATTTTTCCGGTAGTAATTCTAGGTACTATTGCATGTAACGTAGGCTTGGCGGTTCTCGAACCATCAATGATTGGTAGAGGAGCTCGTTCAGTATCGTCTTTCTTTGTGAATATCAATGCGTCCTGTATTCATCTTGTATTCTTCCCACTGACTGTGACCAAACTGCGTCTTTTGCCAGACTTTCCAATTGAACACGATGCGGGCGATGCAACTCGGCAAGGAGAAGGCTGAACCCTGGTGCTACACTACAGCAGAAGCTTTGGCAGTTTACCATGGCTTGATGTTCTAGTTGTCATGCTAAAGCCGTTGATAGCTACTTCGCTTGACGAGCTAAGTAGAAAGACGGAGATGAAGGCGTCATTTGCTGTTAAGGGAGGAAAACAGTCCAAGAACGGCTGGTTTCTTGGCAGCCACCACCATCAAATGTGGTGAAACTTAATACAGACGGTGTGGCGAAGGGTAAATCTGCTATTCAAAAGGATTCTAAATGGCACGAATAAAGAGAAAGTGACAGGCATATAAAAGAAACCGACCGATCATTTCTAATATTTAGCCACCTTGCCGCTCGTATCGACCAACGACCTTGAAGTTATTGAATCCAGAAGAAGATAATAAGCGGGGATGCATCGAAACGTGGGAAAGATAGAGAATAGAGAGAAAGGCTGGTAAAGAATAAGTAAGAGCCAAGCCAACCTAAGACTACTTTACCAATCCTGCAAAGAGAACAACCCCTGTGGGAAAGAAGTGAAGTTCCCCCCTATTTAGACGATTCTAGGAATCAATGTTCCTTGCAATGGCAAGATCCCAACCTCAAGATCATCAGCGGACGACGCCTTCTTCCGAAAGTCCTCCCTCTTTGCTTTGCCCCAGCGAAAGAGACTGAAAAAGATCCGTATCCGATTCCTCGGGTCTTGCAGTCCAAGATTTCGAAAGACCGGCCCCCATGTCCAGCAGTAGCCCTATGAGGCTTAAGCCAAGTAGCGTGGTCTTCGGGAACAGGATTTCTCTCTCCGAAAAAAAGTCTTCCTTTATAGACTTGTCAGCAAACTGCAACGACATCCGTGTAGGCAACACATCAGTAAGTCCCAATCTTTTCAAAACCGGATAAGGCATCAGATTTATGCTGGATCCAAGATCGCACAAGGCATTCATTTCGGATGATTCTCCAATCTTGCACGGAACTGCATAAGTCCCCTCATCATTCCTCTTTTCAAACCCTCGAGCCTCGTAGAGGGCCAACTATCGTTGCGTTGCAAGCGATTTGTGTGAATCATCACAAATACCTCGTCCCTCTCCTCTCCTTCTCTTGTCGATCTCAACTAGAAAAATATCACGATTAAAAGGTATCATGGATAAGACTGAAGTATGTACGATATAACCCTCTCTTCCGCTACTGGTAATGGTGAGAAAAAAGCGGGGTATATGGCTCTTTATAATATAGTTTTAAAGGTGCCACTTTACGTTTGAGAGTTCGCATAGAACCTTTGATGAGCGCTTGCTCCCAGTTTGGTACCTTTTCATAGCTTCCATTTTGAATGCATTGATTTCTTCGCTAAAAAAAAAAGATTCTAATGAATCCAAAGAAAGTAGCACAGGTCTGCTAATAATTACTAAGCCACTGCTCTCCCCTCTTGGCTCATCATTGATCTCTTGGAAAAGTAAGAAAGAAGAAACTGTATCCAAGTCCAGCACAGAAGCCCCTCATTCACTCATCTTTGTTTAAATTGACCGGGGTCAATCCCTTTTTGATATGAACCAATAGGAGAAACGGAAGATACCACGGACGACAGGCGAATGCGCACAGTAGACGCCTGCGGCTCTTCCATTCTTTGATGAGCTCCTCTTGAGTGTTTTTCACCGAGTGAAAGCAGTCCCCTTGTTCCTGGTCCAAGTCTAAGTATAAAAGAGGGTAGACAGTCCCTGGGAGAAGAAGGACCACTGCTTTGTTCCAGGTCAATGTAATCGAACCTTCGTGACTAGTGCCTCGATATGCAGCCTTCATTTGGTCAACTGAACCCAGGATTGGTTGGATCTGCTGCTAAATTCAAATAGCAATTCTCAACCAGATCTTCCTTCCCCCGGGTTTCGGAATGAAGTCCCAAAAGGAGCAAGCTTAAAC